CTTATTCTTCTAATAATTTTCATCATGTGCGGGCTAAACATCTAGTTGCTTATGTAGTTGGTAGTGTTGAAATAATAACTCACACATGTTCTTTATCAGTTTATCACACATGTTCATTTTGATGTAAACATCATTTCGCTAAACGAAAAATGTCCAACTTAGAAATTGGGGGGAAAAAATTAGGTAGTATGAAAACAAGATGATCACCTAAACATAATAAGTTTTTTTTTTTTTTGGGAACCTAATAAGTTTGACATAACAATATAGTATTATTAAAATCTTTCAATTTTGTTTATATACTCATAAGTCTTGATATTAACTATTTGGTTGGTGGCCTAACACATGTCATTTAAAATTTCGCCATTGAGAAGAACAGTAAACAAATTTGGTTTCTAACTACTCTAGTTTCAAATTAATAATGTGAAAAATAAATTAATCTTTTATCTCACCTTATTTTTTTTTGTCGTTATCTCACCTTATCTATATCATATATAAGATATTATTAGCTTGTGTCTTACTAATAAAAATTATTTATTATCAAATTAGCTCTAGCATTGTACACGGCAAAAGACATTATCATGATTCTTTGATTGATTGGTTTAAACATTTAAAAAAAAAAATTTTGATTGGAAAGTCTATCAAATATATTAAAGTCCATCTAACCTTTTTCTCCTTTTTTTTTTTACAAAAAATGTAACAAGAATCATCATTCAACAACACACACACGAACTAACAAGTCTACAATACATACAACTCAGAAATTCCAAACGCAATCCAATTCTTCCGTACTGGCTAAACCGGAGGGTTCGATACCGGGAAATTGGGTTTCTTGACCGTCAAGCAACATCTTCATTAGTGAATAATTGTCTTGCAGAAACAGAGGATCAGAATAAAACAGAGAGCCTAAACCGTCTTTGGACTCGCGGACGAGTCTTTTGTCTTCGGTTTCTTGGTCGGAGAAGCAGGTCACGTGAGTCGACGAACCGGGAAAAGAATCTCGTTGAGAACAATCCATCAAAGAAGGTAAACCGGTCGGTTCAATTCGGTTAATGTGTGAATCAATCATCATTAAACCGGAGATAGGAATCTTTGTACCATCAGCACGTTTCTGGAAAACACGACAAATAACCCATTCGTTCTACATTCACAAAAAAAAAAAAAATCAATTTTACTTCCACAAAAAATGAGAAAAAATAAACAAAATAAATCTCTCTTTTTCTACATACCTTAGCTGTTTGGGGGAGATTTTCAATAGAATATTTGCCTTCTAATCGATATTCATGCATAACCCAATTGGTTTTTACTCCTCTAGGAGCTCTTCCTTTGTAGAAAACCAGAGTTTTCTTCATTCCAACAAGTGATTTCCCTTTGAAAATCTCTTTGTCTTTGCCTGTGGCTTTCCAATAACCGGCTTCAGTAGCCCGGTTTGTCCTTAAACCGGTTGGATATTTCCGGTCTCTTACACAAAAGAAATACCATTCCTTCTCCCCCATCTTAGCCTTCCCTAGTACATCAAAACCAAGACAATTGGAGTTATTTGTAGGTCAATATGGAAATGAGAAATCATTTAGAATTTTCTTAAAGAAAAATATAAGTTTTGTATCATTTCAATTGTATATGCTAAAAAAGGGTTATGTGAAACTTACATGGTAAGTCCCAAGGCTCAATCTTGTTGAGATCAACTTCACCAATGGTAGTAGCAGAAAAGAAAGTGTTGAAAACCTTTGGTTTGAGGTAGTGAGTTATGAGTTCTTCATCAGTAGGATGAAATCTGAATCCAGGTGGTAGATCAATTTGCTCTTCATCTTCTACTATTTCGCCGATTCTTGATGCTTCGTAATCCATTATATCCTTATAGGATTGATCAAATTCTTGATCTTTTTGCAAGAAGAATTTTTTTTTTTTTTTGGTTGTTGTTGTTGGAGAGAGATTGATAAAGAGAAGGGTTTTTAAGAGAGAAGAGAAGAGGGTTTGAGCAACGAAGCTAGCCTCTATATAGTAATATTCATAAGAGATATAAGAACATGCACAAAAGTATTATTATTGTTTAAAATTGACCAATTATTGGTCAAGTTTTGCATCAAGTTATTCTTTGAAGAAATAGTTGTTTTAAGAATTCAAGATTTTCACCGACTATAAGAAAGTTTTCTTTCGTTCTACTTATGTATATATATGGGTTTTCACATTTAAATCTAGTACAATCATCAAATATAATTAATTACTATAAATCAGAAAATGGTGTGCACACATACTATAATTAGTTTTCTTAATAGGATAGAGAAAGAAGAAGATGCGTAGATTGTTAGGCAACTTAAGATGTGTAATTTTCAAAATCTTTTTCATTAAAAAATAAACCTTTCTATATCAAAAACTTTAATATTTCCAAGTTTCAATTTGACCAGGAACGCTTCACCTGTGGCTCCATGTCCCTTTTTTTTGCTAATGTGATAAGAACAATCTTATCACATTAAATCGTGATGTTTTTGTCCATTCTTTAACTAATTATTGATTGTAACAAAAAAACATTAGTGACACTATACATGATTATTGATTTAGAACAATTTATAATTGAAACTATGTAATTATAGAGGTTTTGGATTGTGATTTTGGTATTGATTTGTAAAGTTAATACACACGTTTTTTCGGTTTATTTGTTAAAATGGCATAACTTTTGAAAATATTTGTAAGAAACTACTTGTTGGTATTTTCTGAAATACCACTATTGTATATGATATCATGTTTGGGGAACTAGCACCAATAACTATATAATTTAGGAAGTAACCAATTACCCTTAATCTTGTGGTTATTGTAGCCAATTTTGTTATTTTGCTAATTATAATTCATATTTGGTTATTAAGTAAATTTATCCTATCATATGTTTACTATGCACAAATAAAAACACAAGATATTTACCAAAATACCACCATTGTTATTT